GAGTGTCTCAAACTATTCACCTGACTCAGTTATGTAACAGCCGGCTGCTTCGATGAGACATGAACCTACGACAACAAGGTCAAAACTTATATGGTGCCAATGGTTGCGAGGGCAGGCAGAGTGGCAGGGGACAACTTTGGTGTGACAGCCACTGCGTGTACATCAACTCTCAATCCTTCTTGAAGAAGGTGATCCGTTCGCTGGGACGAGAGCTTTATTGGCCTGAAGTTTCGGATTCCTGCTCGAACCGCATACCTATGAATATTCACAGCTCCCCCCTTCGTCAGGGATCGTTGCACTTGGTGTGCCGACTGTCGCAGTTGAGGACAAAGCAACTATGACGGAGAAGCCGGAAGACAGCTCCGAACGCGAATGGCCGAACACGCTGCAGCGGTGCGGAGAAATTATGCAGGATCTTAGATTGCGGCGCATTCAATGAGATCCGTTCACACATTCAAAGTCGACGAGACCGAAATTCTCGCAAGAGGTGACAACCGCGTGAGCCGGGAGTTGCTTGAGTCATGGTTTATTGGCCCCCAGCCCATTAACAAGTGCTATGATCTTCCCATTCCATACTCCATGCTGAGACTTCGCCTAGACGGAGTAATTAGCCACGCGCGGAGCGCGCAGATGAATACTCTTCCCAACACCAGGGTCCGTGGATCAGATGGTCGACCAATTATCACACCCACATCCAACGCATATGATGAAAATGCAGCAATTAACGACGCGAATGTCCATGAGTTGGAGTACCTTTGAGTGAGCCGATGGGCTGGATTGGGACGCCCTCTTTGTGCACCTTAGGAAGGCCATAGAAGCGGGCCAAGGCCGTGTCCTGGGCTCTCGTCATGTATTGGTCAGCCGGTGATATTGCACCCTAGTTTTCCAATGCCAACGGCGTCGCACTGATTTCTCGTGTCAGCGTTTTTACCGGCTTGGTTGCGCCAGGGGTATAGGACTGTCAGTCCTCCTGCAGAGCTTTGGCCTTCCGAAGGTAGTCTGTCCTGTCCAAAACAACCGTGGAACGCCCCTTGTCCGCAAGCACGATAACGAGGTCTTTATCGGCCTTGAATCTCTTAGGTGCAGCACGTTCGACCTTGGACAGCACTTCGCGCGGCCTGTGAGCCATAAGGAGAGACGATACTTGGTACCGGATAAGATCCTTGGACTTGTCCGTCGCTTCCGTCTGACTGAGGATTGAGTTCACCGCTGTGATCACGTTGACAGGTTTGGCATCGGCCGTGCTATAAGAAGCTTCGCGCCGTAACACCTGCATTTGATCCTTCGTCAGCTGCTTTGATGACAGGTTGTGCACCAGTTTTTCGTTTTTGGGTGACGCTGAATTGGGTATCTTTCTAAATTTGCTCTCCAGCGCTGCGTCACGTATTGCTCTCTGTTCGCGGACACGTTCAGACACCCTCTGCAGAAGCAGAGTTGTACCTAAATCGCCCACGAACTCATGGCATTTGGTCTTCTCTAGATCAATTCTCTGACGGCACTTGCGAAGCCTGGCGTGGCTCTGACTCTGATGATGGATTCGAGTGAGGATCCGAAACGTCAGGCTAATAAAGCTCTTCTTCCAGCGGTCGCGGCTCTTTCCTCGTCTGATGGAACTTCACGCCTTGGGTTCATAGAAGTCGAAATTGGTGTAATGTTCGCGAGTTGGCGTCATTTGCCGCTTAAATGGCCTAGTTCCGATTCTGCTGACTTCAAACACTCTTCTTATCCTCAACCGCCTCAGGTGATGGGTTCGAGTGAGAATCCGAAACTTCTTGTCCCAGTGATCGCATCTTATTCTTCTTCTGGACACTTCTTTGATGCCTGTGTCACTGACTTTGATAATCGTACGGCCATGTCTGTCTTCAGACTTTCGTCATTCAGGAGTTTGGACTAAGTGATAATTCGTCCATTGTGAGTGGCAAGAACTACCACCGTCCCTGCGACGTTTTAGTGGTGACTCATAAGCAAATTTATTAAGAGCACGAGACTTTCGACGCACCATTCTCACCCTCTTCTTCCACGACCAGCGTGATCTGAGAGCGAGGCACGAAGTTGGCACGAACAAAGAAACCAAGGAAGCTGAGTAGGCGTGGCTGCTGGCTCCTTATTCCTTATCTCACAAGTGGGCAAGTTGGTGTTGGCAGAATGTTATTACCGACAAAGGCAACGGAGACTGGAATGGCCATTCCTGGCTTATTAGCCGTCGTCAGCCAGTCATACCCAACCCCGATGTGTAGGACACCCGAGGTGCAAACTCGCGACCTGTTAGCTTGAAGTCCACGCCTCTAACCACTGAGCCACTAGCAGGTTGCCCTGTCGGTTTCAATCGGGAATATACAACAGTAGGGGGCACTTACCGACCGTTCTTACGGAAGTCACTCGTTCCGTTGTGCCTTATGGGCTCTCTCTCGAACCCAACCAGCAGCCGCACAGCGGCGCATGATACATAGGCAGAATGGCATTACCGACAAAGACAAGGGAGACTGGAATGACCATTTCTGGCTAATTAGCCGTCGTCAGCCAGCCATGCCCAATCCCGAATTGTGGAACACCCGAACCTCGAACTCGCGACCTGTTGGTTTAGAAGTCCACGCCTCTACCCACCGGGCCACGGGTGTGCCACACTTCGGGGTTGGGTATGACTGGCTGGCGACGGCTAATAAGCCAGAAATGGCCATTCCAGTCTCCCTTGCCTTTGTCGGTAATAACATTCTGCCTATATCATGCGCCGCTGTGCGGCTGCTGGTTGGGCTCGAGAGAGAGCCCTTAAGGCACAACGGAACGAATGAGTTCCGAGAGAACGATCGGTGAGCGCCCCCTACCAAAGTTGGTGTTGTACATATGCGCCGCAAAACGCTTTTACGGAAACTCCATCTAAGCAACTCACACGAGGTTCTAGGGCAGGATTGGAAAATGCCACAGCTCCTCATCTCTAGGGCCTGGACTCGAGAGGTCCAGTTGCGCGGCACGACCACAAATCCCAAGATATGACTGTCTACAATCTCTAATTCACCTCGGATAGCGGCTATACCGGGAGGCTGCGTCGATTTTTGGCCCACACAACCAAGTTGAATCGACAGCCGTTGTCAGACACGAGGTTTCAGTGGACAGGACATTTCGCCATACTTCTGAACTCGACGGACATGGCACTCTCGGCTGACCTCCAGTTTGAGGACGCCCTGACGTCCCAACAGAAACTTGTCTGCATCTTGCAATAGCATGAATGTATCTTTAATGACAACGCAAGACACAGTAGTAAAGCGCTTGACAAGAATCGGCCTTCAGTGGGAATCTACAATTACCGTTTAAAGGCACTTGTTGGATGTACTGACACCAACATGAGATGAGACTACTGCATGGCAAGTGCTGTGGCATAAACTTCCTTGGCATTGTTGGTGGGGCAGTTTCTTCCGTCAAGGGCCGCTTCCAGCTGCGCTGTGATGCTCTGGCCGGGCACCGAGCCCGTCCCGTAGATCTTACCTGTGCAGAGGCTACTCCAACTGATTTAGGCCTGCTGCTACAATCCGTGAAAATGACCAGGCATCCGTGAAAACTGCTCTCTTGGGAGATATGTTCAACTCCGTGACAGATTGGGCTTCTTAGCACACACTGCAAACAAAACAGGTCTCGTGGTAGATCACGGTACGAAACCGGATCCTGCTGCCGGTACGGCGGCTTTACTGAACAGCCGAAGTGTGCCTGAAAAACGAAGATGGTTCCACTAGATTTCGCAGCCGAGAGTATCTGCCACGGCTTACGGTGTAAGTGGACAGTCCCCTCCAAAAAAGGACGAGATCAACCAGACTTGCGGTACGACTTGTAAAATCTTCCGAACCGGCTTGAGCTCAGTCATATGAAGATGCGAGCAAGAGGCCTCATGTCGATACAAGAGAAGATCCCTATGATCAAAATATATCCAGCACCGGTGTCCGCACACCCATCCTTGGTTCGTGCTTCCTATGCGCGGTCCGCCAAGACATGATGGTCCTCGGACCCTCGGCATTCGATCTTCATCATTGGGAGGGCGGTCCGAGGTCAACATATCCGGTAGGACTCGCGGCATCATAGACGCTAGCTAAGTTAGGCGTGATCACAGTCGTGCTATGTAAGCAAGTCGTTACTCGTCCACCGAGATGGCTCTGAAAGCGAGACCGTAGGGGATGTCAGCTCACTCGAACGGGTCAGTATTGCAGGAATGTCGGCGTGGCCAAATAGCGCCGGTGGACAAAACTACAATCGGCCTCAAGCGCGCCTCGGGCTCACCAGTCCGACTTCGCTCAAGGGATAGCTGCCGGCCGGATACGAAGGAGCGCGATTGTTCGAAATGCAGAGGACCTGTAGACATGCACTGCGCCCACATGACCCATGAGGCTATTGAGAACTGCCGAAGTACAGCAGCGGTAGACAGAAGCGCCGGTGACGCGGTAACAGCGTCAGCCAGCATAAAAGTCCCCTAACCCACAAACACAGTTACGATAATTCGAAGCCCTTCTTGACTGAGAACACAAAGTCTCTGCTTGAAGTAAGCAAAAGTGCCATTACTGCTCAGAGCTGGTGGGCGTTGCCTGCATGGAGTGATAAACAGGGTCCGTTACAAAGTACACAGTGGGAATTTATTCCGTGGTTAGGTTAAAAATGTAAATACTCCAGTCTCCTCCCTCCTTCACCGTCAAAATAAGTTGACATTAAAATCCACCGGCCGTCGGGACAAGGATGTATTGGGTGTACTAACGTGGAAGAGCGCACGCTTGATTACGTTTGCATCGACCTCCATGCTCGTCGTTGTCGTCGGTGGCTTGACGGGGGGACGCCTTTAAGGATCGAAAAGAAACAAAAATGATGGTGGAGAACAGGCGGTGGGACGTAATCGGAGAGAGGCTGGAGGGAAAGCAAACCTACTGGATGTTGGTGTTGGTTGCTACAGGGGGAAGAAGCGGCGGGACTGTGGGTACGTTGGTTGCTAGTACCACCAGCATGGGACGCCCATCAAGTTCTCGACCATTGTACTGCGCCACCGCGGACTGTGCATCAGTGGCGCTGTTGAAGATGACCTCAGCGAAGCCGGGTCGCACCATGTTGCAGGAACGCACACTCCCTACCCCGGAAAAGAGCTCCTGGCAAAGAAGAGAATGTAGGACGGGTTATAAGAGACTGGTCTAAAGGGAAGGAGCGCAGGTTGACCCTGATGCTGTTTATGAATCATGACGGGGACCCACAAGACGAAACCAATCGCGTACAAATGATTCCATGCGGGGCGTGTGCTGGACACTATATGGCCCCCTCGAGAGCTCACTCGACCGTCGGGGTTCCCAGCGAGTGTCTACTGACATATTCAATAGTACTAGTGAACGGGACTGCCCACTGGCTCTGTCAATCATGAGGAAACCGACCTACGCCTAACGCGACGTGAAAATTTAATGGTACCAGTCCTTTATTACAAAGTCGATCAGGCCAGCGCATCGATAGGCTAAATGAACATTGCGTTTAAACCGTAGGTGAAACAGTAGAAGACACCTTTAGCTTAGACATATAGAATTCACGTACCTGGCTATATAAAGTTCAGAGTGCAGAATTTGCTTCATAAATTATTTGACATAGCCATACGATTTGCGGCTGCAAGAAATCTATTAGTAGAGATGGCTTAAATTTCCTGGACGACTCAGTAGCGGTATCACTGTTAGTATTCCCATTTTCAAGGCGCATGGCCCTGTCAGAGTTGGGAAGAGATGACCTTTAAAATGGCTATTAGCACTTGACTTCGTCATATTTGTCCGAAGGTAGGTAAGAAATTTCGAAAGGACTTGAAGTAAGCGCGAGCGGCTGACCATCGACCATCCAAATCCAAAGCCAGTATTGTACCGCAGATGAAACATCCCCTCATGATGTCTGGAAAGGTTGAGGCCGAGTTGCGTTTAGGGGATCTGTGCCAAATTTATAATAGGCCGGCGAGCACGTGCAGTCTTAGTATCATGCATGATTTGCTAACGGGGAGAGAGAAGGCCAGGAAATTAACTGTAATAATAATGATGACAACAGTACTAAAACGTCATTTTACAAATCACAGGCGTTGAGAAAAAAACAGCCCAATGGCAAAACTTCACCATAGAGCTCGTTTGTCCGTCAAAACCGTAGTGTGCCTCAAATAAACGCAGCCAATGCGGCTGCAGACAGACAGACAAGAATAAAACACATGACCATCAATTGTTCCTCTCCAAAGCTAGCGGTATACAGGTTGTGAAGCATCCTCTATGGCAGCAACAAGAAACGAGCCGAAAATGCTAGCAATATGCATTATTTGACAACGAAAATCTAATGTTAATTAAATGCTTGAGCCAGGACAACGAAATCCCAGCGCGGCATCGAAAATATGTTTGAGTTCATTTCGGGGGCTCCCATGAAATAAAAAAACTAAATTGAATGAGAAACTAAAGAAAATTGGCCTACATGAGTGAAGTCCTATGATCTCCGACCAATAATCTTCCGACTCTGTACAGTCCGCTATGGCAGTAAATGATTATGAGAAATCGTTAATCTCAAAGAAGAATATGGCGCTGACTCAGATATGGAGTCTCGTGGAGAAAATGGGCATCGCCCACTTACAAAAACGTCCTCCAGGGTAACCGATGACTGAAGATTTTTGACTTGTACGCGAAATCCTTGAATTGGGCTGAGCGATGACGTAGCTGGCTTCGTAATCTGAAATATGCTGGGATTTGGGAGGGAAATATTGGTGAAAAGACCAGGAATAACCGGCTGGACGGCAGCCGGGTTGGAGATCGTACGCATGAGAGGCGGCACACCAGTTGCAACGTTAGCACTGGGGAATGGATCCCGCTGCAAACGGAAGGAGGTAAGTGAGTAAATAACAGACTATGGCAACTGCATCACCTCGCAAATTACTAGGTCGTCTGAAGTTTTAGAAACATTTGGACGCTCGAGTCCGCAATACCGCCATAAAGCGTGCACGGAAGGAAAGTGCGTATGAAAAAGTTTAATTTGTTCTAGGCATGAACGAGACAAAAACAACGCAAGGAACTGGGAGGCAGTAGAATGTTTTATTTAGCACGACGGTTTTAAGTAAGGAATACGTGAAGTTTAATATCACAAAGTCTCAGATGTGACTAAAAAGACGGGAGCATATATGAGTGCAGAAAGCAAAACGGTACATTAGTTGATGGTCCGTGCAGCAAAACATTCAAATTGAAGTGGGAAAAGCCTCTAAAGTCGAGACTTTTAATGGAGATTAAGGAGCGCGAGCTCAAATAAATGCGAATTTTACTAGAGGCAGCTACTTAAGTGTTAGTAGTAGCCAACAATTGACACTCGACCGATTGCAAAGAATGAATCTTTTGTATCATATGACCGTTATGGTAGAAGAAGAGGTCAGCGAACGGAAACTTGCATAACATATCAATTTGCTGGAAGGACAACTTACTTTTCTGGGCCTCCTGTTGTTTGGACTGAAGTACTCATTCCTGATCTACCCCAGGAAAACAAAAAATATCGCGGACCGTCATTTGAAATCATTATGACAAAGCGAGTTTAAGTAGATAAAATTAGAAAGTGGTAAAGGAGAAGGACTGACTGAAAAGATACCGAACGCCCAATAATCCTATGAAACTAGGCAGTCATAACAAGAAACTTTAAACCATACGGAAACAGGGACGAACCGTTCTTTTGGGAATTAGAAATGGCACTTTTGTCTGTCGCTTAATATTAGTACCCGCCATAAACTTTGGATTTTGTATTCTTTGTCGCAGATCCTGCCTGGGACCACGGCGGCTACTAATCAGAGAACGAGCGTCGAAACGAGATGCTCTGTTTGGAATTTTTACGCGCAAGTCAACTGTCTGCTGAAAAGGGCGAACAGGCCTTTCGGAAGTTCCTAATCGAGATCTGGAAAGAAAACATAACGGCGCAAAATGCGGTACATCGCGCTTCGTCTTTGCAGACGCCTGTCAAACGTATCATCCATGACGGCCGCGAGAATAATTAAAATCGTGAAGAGAATTTTAAACTGGTGGTAAGAAATTCGATTGATGTAAAGCCACCCTAATTTGAAAGCTCCAAACAATGCGTAGAATTAATCTGAAAGCCCACGGTTACAAATTTACCATTTTTTATTTACAGAATGTGGGAAGATATGTAATCATAACTTGTGGTGTAAAAACGTACTCCATGAAAGACTGCAACAGTCCAACTACTTGCACTACTTGTTGCAGTGATTGCAGGGGTTTCCTAAGCGAGCAGTTGAGTCTACCTAAGTAACTTTCGAAAGGAAATTATGAAACTTTCGGGCGAACCACGTCGTGAAACATCGTCTACCAAGTGCACAATTTTGTGAACATTGTACACCATCTCAGCCTTCCCGTATAACGAGGAAAATCTATCCACGAACATTCCCAATAAATGGCTACAGAAGGGAGCCCACTGCCTGCACGAACGTGGGCGTACTAAGCAGCGCATTTCAGTGAACAGTTATAAGGAGTGCTACCAAGACTTACGAGGAAGCACACCATTCAGACACCACTCATCACACCATCGCTGCAGGCGATTCAGATTGTTTTGCGACAACAGGAATTCTTCCGGCTTCTCTATTGATTTCCACAAACTGAGATCATCGGCAAACGTTACGCGCTCGCAGTTTAGACAGTCCAGGCAGTCGTTCATATACATTAAGAACAGAATTGGACCCAGAACGCTCCCCTGCGGAACGCCACTGTTGACGGATGCCCATTCCAATTTTGCGTTTCCGATACACACAAGCTGAGGTCTGCCCGTAAGAAAATCGGCTAACCGTTTCAACAGATTTCCACTCACGCCCATTTGATATAATTTAAATGTAAGTCGCCTGTGTGGGACACTATCAAAGGCCTTTCTGAAGTCAATGTATACGGCATTGGCGGATAACCCCATGTCAATTTATTTCGTCTAACTCTCCGTGGATTCTAGCAGGTCAGCGAGACAGGATCGACGCCTGCGAAATCCATGTTGGTGCAAATTGAGCAATTTGTTTTCTTCAAGATGCCGCATCAGCTCCGTTTTTATTACCTTTTCCATCACTTTGCAACAGATGCTTGTGAGACTCACTGGTCTAAAACTATTTGGGGCGGTTCTCTCACCACCTTTATTTATGTGACTTACATTTGCTTTCTTCCCGTCTGTAGGCAGAGCCCCAGTCTCCGTCGAAGTTCTGAAGATCCTGAATAACGGAGATGTCAGTTGATCTGAGAGTGTAATTAGGACTTTTGCAAGCACGCCGTCCGGACCAGGCGATTTAGTGGACTGTAGTTGACTGAAAGATTTCTTTACGGTGAAGTCCACCGTGCTAATTGTATTTCTTTATCTGACAATTGGGGGGTAAACTCTTTCATCAAAAGCCAGCTTCTCGGTATACACAGACGTGATGAAATCGAACAACAGGTTAGCTTTACCTGAATTGTCCGACAACGTATATCCCTGGCGATCTTTTAGACAGGGATTGCAGTTCCGGCTGCGTTTCGCTTTATTCAAGTACCCGAAGAGTTTTCTGGAATTTTGCGGGATATTTTTGAGTAGTTTTGACTCAAATTCTGCCCGTTACCTCCGCAACAGATGCCGACATACATTTCACTGTTTTTTGAAGTCAGAGAAATGCTCAGTTTCCTGAAATCTGGCGTACTTTTTTTCAAAGTTTCCTTTTCAATTTAAGGTTCTTCCTTATTTCTGACATCACCCACTCTGGTCGGGAAGTGCACGGTTTCCTCTTAAGTGGACAACAGCTCTCTACCAAGTGCTGCATTACGTTCTTGAAGAAGAGCCAATCGCTTTCTTGGTCAGGTGCTTGCGCATCATTCCAGTTCACCTTCTGTAGCAGGTTTTTATTTCGGGGCTAATGCCTTTTCCATGCACTTCTTTCCTCAGCAGCTCGAATTTCGGTTGCGTAAAAATGACTACACTCCCAAACAAGAAGGCAGTGATCACTTTGGCCAAGGGGCGTGTACGATTCCAATCCGATAATGCAGTTATCCTCCCTAGTGATGATGAGGTTCAAACAACTTGACTGCTGTTCGTCTCGGAATCGAGTGTCCATTTTAACGTGCTGTGTAAGGAACTCATCAGTGACCAGTTGAATAAATTTCTGTTCGAAGGAGCTTTCCGATCGCGTGCAATGCATCAAGCACCAGTCTATGTCTAGACAGTTGAAATCACCAAATGGCATCCTGTGCTTGCTTTGACACATTTCCTTTATTTCGGTGATGAATGCATCATCCGCATTCGTCCGCTGCCCCGGCAGTCTGTAAACCAGAGCCATAGGGAGGCTTGGATGGTATGGCACTTTCAGGGAACAAATGAGTATTTCAAAGTCAATATTCATACATAGATAAGGTTCAGCGCCGAAGTAGTCGATGCCATCTCACATAAATATCGTAATCCCCCCACCCCTTCGTTCGTTTCAGTGCATTCGGAGAAGCTGAAATTCATCAAGCATAATTTCCGCGTCTTTTATCTGCGCATTTAACCGTGTTTCTGTTAGAGCTGTCCAGGCGGGTTGGAAATGGGTCATGGTACGTTTTATTTCGTCCAGTTGGTTGAATAAACTGTACACATTTGTGTACATCGTCGTTATAGTATTCAGTTATTTAGATCCTGGGAAATGTTTGCTGGCGCTTTCGACTAATAGTTACTAGTGGATATTTCACATGGCGTACCAAGTCCACTAGTCGATTTCGAACTTACTGAAGTTTGACGGGATCGATCACCGGTGTTTTTACCCTCATTGTCACCGGGTGATTCAACAAAAAGGCCCATGACTGAATGCGTGAATGCAGTGCGGGTAATTGAGGCGCTGGCGACTGGTGCACTTTGGTGCTTCAAACACTAGTTCGTCAGTCTCTGTGCGATGAGTTAGCAAATGAGATATTGAGTCGGTCGAGACTGTTATGCGGCTAGTGGTCACCGTGCTTATGGGTCGGGAATTTGTAGAACTGGAGATGAAAGAGTTGTTGGGCATGCAAGGTTTGCTTGCTGCGACGATATTGCGGGAAATCATAATGATGTAAATACGCATGTGGACAAATAGGCCCACGCGGTGAGTAAATGCGCGTGGACAGTGCGAACAGTGGAGGCGGGTGCGACGAATGTATAGGAGGTTTTCGAGACTGGGACGTGGGTCGCAGCTCGGTAGACTCGCAAGTAGCCGAGCAGACCGATACGTGAGGTGAATATACGATCGCAATGAGGACACGTTGAGATCGATTCAACATCGTCGGTGGTGGGTGGTTGACAGTAGTGGTTGACGAGGGATAGGGAGTGTTTTCACAGGTGGCGGGTGTGGGAGAGCCGGTAGTCGTCACTGTTTTCTCGAGGATTATGGCAGGGATGATGAAGGTGGCGGTGGTCGACGACAGGTGATATCAGGCGTGTAATCATCGGCGGTGAGGGTGTTCGTCGTCACAAACCTTGGGGGCCATGCAGACGTGAGGATCGGGAGGTGGTGCGAGCAAAAGTTGTGTTTGTTGGGTTGTTTTTGAACGGGGTCCTGAAAAGTCCAAGGAGACCAGCGCGCGTGCGGAACTTTCGTTGGCAGAGTGGGCATGTTAGAAAAATCTAAGTGCTTTGTCTGTGAATCAGGAACACTTGAGATTTGCGATCCGATCATTTAAAATAGAATAGAGTGGCTTTAATATAGTACCTCTTGGGCGCTGTTGGCCTCCTTCAAACATAAGAATAAACCTAAACCCAGATTATCCATTTAGGTTGTCTTTTGACTACATTTGTTCTGGCTGTCTGCCTAGTCAATAGAACGTGAGTTAGGAAATTAAGTTAAAAAAACCGAGGCATGATTATAGCAGAAGTAAGGAAGAAGAGCGATAAGTTGGAATTGTAGGTTCGGCAGTTTTTGGGTCATGAATTCGCCCGTATTCGTGGAACTTGAATAACTTTGACATCCGCTCGACGTTTAAATTGTCTACAACACAAGCACCCGCAGTTTTTGAAGGTTAAGGGCCGAGCGCCAGGTGGTTCTTTTTATGTACAGTTGAGATTATATATGCAAATATACACAGCTGGCACAAAATACAGCCGTTTGTGTAATTTGTGGGTACAATATCCATCAAGTGTACAGGGATGCGTTAAATCGGGAATTAAGTAAGGAAATAAAGTTCGTGGCAGTCGTAGATACTTTTAGAGTGTGAATCGCGGTCTATCAAAAACCAAACGATCCGACAGTCTTCCGAATACAGTCGTGGTATCAGATGTCGCAAGTGCACTTGGGAGTAAATTCCACAGTCGGGCAAAAAGAAAATCGTCGTTGGCCTAGGCGCGTACGTTCGCGTTTGATCTTGCACGCATGACTACGCTGGTGACTCATGTTAGTAAACTAAAAGAAATCTTCAGACTTGAGCGAACATCATGCCCGCCGATAATGCGGAGTGTTCACAGCAGTCTACACCTCAATTGTCTATGGGAGAGCAAATTGAGTTGGATCAGTCGTTCCGAATAGGACAGAGTCCTGAGATCGTCCACCAGTTCTATCGCCCTGCTTTGCACCTGTTCGATGGAGTCCCTTTCTTACTTCGTCCAGGACATCCGTGCTGATCTGACGGACGTACCAGATATCTGCGCAAAGAGTTCGGCAGGAAAGGCTGCGAAAGCACGCTTAATCCAATGCATGATGCTGATGACCTTTCGGACGGATCTTTTACAATGCTCGGAGGGCAGCAAGTATGAACTTGCCCAGACACCTAGGTCTGTGTGCATATCTTCTCCTTTTAGTGGAACTGCATTTTTGGTGAACTGGTATTTTGGTAAGCGTCTCCGACCAGATTCCAAGCGCAAAACTACACAGTTGGAGACGTTAAACTCCAGAAGCCATTGGTTGGACCATGTGGTCAGCTTATCAACGTCTTCTTGCAGTTTATACGTGTCATCGGCACAGCTTATTGCTTTCTAGATTTCTATATCATCTGCAAACACGATGACATCGCAGTAAAG